GCACGCCCCCCCCCCCAGCATAAGCAAGTAAATAGACACACTGATGCGTGCAGAAGGGCTGGCAGCGGTTAAGAGGTGGCAATAATGACGAGGCAAAACCACACGAGTTCGGCTTTCATCTGCGAGAAACTCCCCGTAACCTGCACCTGATATAAATGTCCAGGGAGAAAGGCCCCGACCTTCCAGACACCGCGTCCTCTCTGGGGCCGCCGCTGTCCCCCTTGCCTGAGACGTCCCACCTGCAGCTGGTCCGGGTACCGGGCTGAGCTGAAACCCACTCTTCCCTTCTCCCAGGCTGGCACGGTTTCCTGTTTGCGCTCTCTCACCCCTACGTCCCCCTTCCAGGGCCAACAGTCTTTAAAGAACAACAAGAAGAAAAACGCCCCGCTTAGCGCCCTGCGGTAACGTCTCTCTCCACAGAGCTGCGGTTTCTGGGAGAGAATATCCGATTTTCCAGGGATGGCCCCAGACCGCTCTCCCCTCTCTCTGTGCCACCGCTGCCATTTTGGACTGGATAACGCTCTATTGTGGAGAGCTGGTCTGCGCCGCACAGGACCTTTTGCGGCATCCCTGGTCTCTACCCAGAAGGTGCCAGGAGCACCCCGACCCGTCATGAGAATTGATCGAAACTATACCCCGACATTGCTGCATGTCCCTGGAGGGGGAAGGGGAGGGGGAGGGGGATCGCCAAGTTGAGAGCCACCCTTACGGCCTCTCACGCTGAGTGCTCACACCTTCCAACCCGAGGAAGAGATGTCTCATGGGGTTTCCTAGCCAGACAGCCAGGATGGCCTTCGGAGGGGCCGGAGCCTTCTGTTTGGGGCCGGGGGCGGGTAGCAGCTGTATCAAAACTAGGTTGGTCACACGATAGATGGACATGTTTAATGGGGCCAGGCTGGCTGGATCAGGTAACAGCGGTCAGTTAAGATCAGGAGGAGGTGTCTGGAGAGGTTATAGGTCCTCTGCACCCCCCGTAATTACCCTTGGATCCACACTTTTTCATTTATGTCTAATCTCAGACAACACTGGATTCGTAAAAATAAAATCATACAAATTAATCTCATCCAATCCCCTCCATGTGGGGACAGCAGGGCCTGGAAAGAGGACGAGACTTGGCCGCACTCATTTTGGAGGTAGCTCTAACCCGAGACACAATTTTACACACCTGCAACTGCCCATTTTCATTTGATGGAGTTAGAGAGGTAGTTGCAACCAGGAATTAGAGGATGCAGAAGACATTTCTACAAGAATACAAATAATTAGGCCCAAGGCGAGCTCCCGACAGAAACTCTCCACCAACCAGCTGAAAACATCTGACGTCCAATTCCTACTCAGACCTCCAATCCCTCTAGCTAACCTTCCAGACCGCTGGCCTGTGCACCTGCAGAGTAGATGAGGTCCTGCCCTCTCCTCATACCTCACCTGCGGCAGGTGAATGCTTGGAGCATCCCTTCCTTTCCCGCAGCCTCTGTCACACTAGCCTTTCTATGTCGCCTTCTGAGTGGACCCCAGCGCCCCCCTCCCTGTATTCCACCGAAAATAAATTCAATTGGAAACCGTGAATGCGCCAGTCCCAGAGGTGGCCCGTCACTTAGGGAGATCATTTTATTCCCTGACCTGGCGATACACGCCCACTTCCAGCTCCATGCAGATAATGAGGGAGGCAGTGACATACACTTTTTCCTCTGACCTAATTGATTATCCCCACACACCTTGGAGTGCTTTGCATAACCAGCCCCGACAGCAGAAATCCCTTCCAGGCGAAGTGATTGACACATTTTATTTCTAATTGAAGCTTAATCCGGACGAGATGAGATTCCCACATTCTCTTTCTCTCCACACCCCCCCCCCTCGCCCCCCGCCCTTCTTTTTCTCTTCC